AAGATAAATGAGTCAGATTCATCCCAGCAAATGCCATTTCTTTTTGCTTTCTATGGTGGTCCACTACGAGACTCTGGCCATACAAATAGTCCAGAGCATCCTCTACATAAGGGACTGAGAGGAATAAAGCCAGTGAATCCCCCTGAGTGAATGACATTTATTGGAAAAGGCTTATCACCCTGGGTAGTAAAGAAATGTTCTGATTCAGCATCCACCTTATCTTCAAGTAAAGCTCTCAATGAGAGTTGGCAAAAGTGAACACTGCACTAATGGTAACACTGAAAACAGTTTCAGGCTATATTATAGCTTCGCTCTCTGCCTGAGTGAATTTTTCTCCTGTTGATTGGGACTCTGTGCGAGGAGGGACAATTTACACCTTTCTCTACCTGTTTATGTGAATTTGGCGGCATTAATTTCTTTATTTTATAGTAAAACTCTGCCTAGATTAACAATGTATTGAGAAAATAATATTTTTAAAACATGTTGTAGACAAGCAAAGATCATGCCTTTTGGTGATAAAAGACAAGAAGAAATAACTCATGTGTTAGCTACAGCTTCAGTTCATTTGAAATCAGTCCATTAAAGTCTATCCAGTCAGCCAAAGTCTGTGCAGAATAAGGAAGGAAGGCTGGCTTTAGTCAATGTCCATTTACATCTCATGAGAATGTATACACATTTATGCCAGGGGTTTTTGTAATAGTGCAGGATGAGTTTGGCTTTTGCTGATAAGAGACACAGACTGTGACCAGGTCAGGACTTCCTCCTCTATGTTGCTTGTAATTTCTAATCTCTTCTCTTTCATTCACATAGTGATGCATTTACAGGCATTGATGTGACATGAAAACAGGGTAGTAATGTGAAGGGACAGAAAAAAGAAAGAAGACCATCCAAAAGCATGTCTTCTTTAACTGTGCCTTTTATTTTCTGTTTATAACATGTTTCCCTCGAAATAGAGAAGTTAACAGTGTGTGCTGTGTTCATCAGTGGCACAATAGCAGGCCTATTAATTTGACTTTGATTTGGCTACCTGAATATCAGCAGCCTAATAGACAGAAGAGGTGGCCAATTCAGGATGTGTAATATTAATCCTCCATTTTACACACTGCGCCAAACCCATCCTCTCCTTCAAACATTTACTTTTCTAGATATTACATAGAAGATATATCTAATGTCACAGCTAATCTCTATGTCCAGTCCAGCATGTTGCTGAGTAGATGTAATGCTGCCTGCACTCTCCAATCTCATGGGAAGACTTAATTCTTATAATAGGATCATTTTATTTCACTATAGATGTTTGTAAAGTAATATATGTAATGCACACCAGACTGTATGTTATGGTGCATACAGTAAGTTAAAGCAGAGTACATGTAAAGGTCAAGTTCTCTGTGGGCATACATTGGGGTTCACACCAGTAGAAGCCAATTGAGCAATTGATTTTGCACCATCCGAACAACTGGCCTTCAGTTTTCAGTCTTGGCTTGATTTCCTTCTGCTTTAGTACAATCTGCACTAAAATAAAAATAGTTTTTTTAAAGAAAGAGTTTGACCCCAACAAATGCAACTGTTTTCCTCAGCTAAAATTTACTTCCAATTTACACTCAAGAAATTGAGCAAAATCAGGCTCTATATCTCAGTTCTGTTCTAAGATGCATGAAATTAAGAATTGTATCAGTATATGAGAGGGTAGAACAGGATCCCAAATTGGTTTCATTTTCTGTTACATATATATGTAGTGTGCAAGCAAAGGGGAATGTCCAAAAAGAAATAATATTATGAACTGCAAAGACAGCAGCTGCGCTCACTGGCTTAAAAAAGACTAGGTTATAAAAAACGTACCATTTAAAAACTAAACTACACGTCTTCAATTCAAACACCATTCTGTTCTTACCATATGGATGTGAACCGAGCTGGGAGGTTTTGCAACTGTTTTGTAGGATAAGGTCATAATTCAAAATGATCTGGACAAGATGGAGAAATGGTCTGAGGTAAATATCATCATCATCATCATCAACGCCCGTTGGGGTCCAGTGCCTCCCTCACTATTTCCTTCCATCTTTCCCTGTCCAGTGTGGAGTGGCTTAGTTTCTGTAGACTAACTCCACACCAGTCTACAATATCATCTACCCATTCTCTGTGGGGATCTGCCTCTCCTATTTGGACCATCCATTATGCTGAATACCAAGCTCTTAACTTTTTGCTTGTTGTTCATTCTGCAGATATGCCCAAATATTTGTAACTTCCATTGTATAACCTTCTGCAGTAGGTTCTCTTTCGTCTGTATCTTCCTATATAATTCCTCATTGGTGACTTTCTGCATCCATCCTATTCTCAGGATCTTTCTATAACAACTTCTCTCGAATGCCAATATTCTTCTCTTCAAATCTTTTGTTATCACCCATGTCTCACATTCGTCCAACATGCGGCTAAATACACACATTTTCAAGATGCTCAGCTTCATTCCTAAGCTAATCGCTTTACTTTTCCAGATCATATCCATTGCCTTCAAACTCGCTCTTGCTTTCTCTGTTCTAGTCACCATTTCCTTCTTACAGTCTAGATCATACATCATATTGCTCCCCAAATACGTGATCTTCTCTACGTTCTCTAATTCAATCTGATCTACACTGATCTTCCTTCCTATTTCTTTATCTCCAAATACCATTGTTTTTGTTTTATCGATATTCATAATCAGTCCATACCGCTTCCCTGCCTCTTTTAGCACCTGCACCATTCTCGCTAACTTCTCTTCATCTTCCTCGATGATAACTATATCATCCACGAACCTTAAGTTGTTAATTCTCATCCTGTGGACCGATATCCCTTCTACCTCTTCCTTGATCTTGTCCATTGCTCTCTCTATGTGTGTGATGAAAATACTCATCGATATCAGATCTCCTTGTCTCATACCTCTACTCATTCTAAACCAACTTCCCCACTCTCTGCACATTCTCACCACTGCCTCCACATTATCATTGATATCCTTCAACAATATCAATCTACTATCCACTCCATACGACTCCAACACCACCCAAGTCACTTTTTGATATATACTGTCAAATGCCTTCTGAAAATCGATGAAGCAATTGTAGATGTTCTTGTTGTTTCACTGAGCTTTCTTTGCTATCAATCTTATACACTCTGCATGAATAAAGATAAGATTTAAACATCTGTAGAATTTCTACCATTCTTGCATGCAGTTTTTTTCATGTTAAGCTTTCAAATATTGAAAGTTCACATTCAATGCCTTGAACAAAAATGATAAATGAACTAATGAAATAGAAAAAGATGTTGTTATTATTTTAACCAGTAAACTCACTCAGGGATAATCTGGATGCAATTTAGCTTATTGAAAATGTTTTGAGTGAACATATGGCTTCTATTGTGAAATCAGTGCACAGTCTTAATTACAAATATAGATAATTATCCTTTGAATTTTAAACATTTATATCTGTCAGGTTATGTTGGAGCATTTTTCATGGTCAATAGGTTGAAAAGTTATGAAGTTGAATATATATATTTGTTTGGCTAAAGCTATCTTCAGAATAGGTAAGATCCAAACTTTTCACCTGCCTGACCCCAATGTGATTTGAACACATAGCCTTCTGATCTGGAATCAGACGTGCTGCTATTGTGCCACAAGGCTAGCTTGAGTAAATGGGATGAAGTTTAATAAGAATAAATGCAAAGTACTCCAGTTGGGAAGGAACAATCAGTTTCACAGATACAGAATGAGAAGTGACTTTCTAGGAAGGAGTACTGAAGAAAGGGATCTAGGGGTCATAGTGGGCCACAAGCTAAATATGAGTCAACAGAGTAATACTGTTGCAAAAAAAAAAGGCAAATATGATTCTGGGATGCATTAACAGGAGTGTTGTGAGCAAAACACAAAAAGTCATTCTTCCACTCTATTCTGCACAGATTAGGCCTCAATTGGAGTATTGTGTCCGGTTCTGGGTATCACATTTTAAGAAAGCTGTGGAGAAATTGGAGACGGTCCAGAGAAGTGCAACAAGAATGATTAAAAGTCTAGAGAAAATGAGCCAAGAGGGAAGACTGAAAGAATTAGTCTTGTTTAATTTGGCAAGGAGAAGACTGAGAGGGGACATGATAGTGGTTTTCAAGTATCTAAAAGGGTGTCACAAGGAAGAAGAAAAAATATTCTCTTCGGCCTCTGATAAGACA